TGTTACAAGAGGCATGTATCAACCAGTTTATCTTTCTACTGACAAAAGCAGTGCAAAGCCTTAGAAAAACAAATAAAATAATTTGATGACCAAATAACAAGACAGTGAATTTTTATGAATAAAATAATATTTTTTTAGCAATATACTGGAAACTTTTGCATCAACATAAAATTATTTGGTGTTTTATTTATTCACTTGTAGATATGAAAATCTACTCTCTTTTCAAATCATGGACACACATCTGATAATCACATTATTGAACTAAGACCATTTTCCCTGCTTTCTCTGTACACACTAAATTTCATTTTCTTTTCAGAAAAATGGAGCGTTCTTTTTTTGTTTAATATCTGATTAAGGCAAGTAAAAAAAAAAACATCATGTGAAATTAAGTTTGCTTCAATTAACCAAGAGAAAAGTATTATTTATGGAACTAAAAAATTAACAAGCAGGAAAATTGTTGTTTTTTTTTTATTATTGAATATCCGAGGACCTGGTAAATAAATTTACAAGGATAAAAAAGAAAAACAATATAACTTTTCTTCAATTCTTTTATAAAAAAAAAAAAAAATATTTAAGAAAGTGTCTTTGTTTTTATATAAAATCATATGACCACAAACACCAAAAGATTAATTAAATCAAAAATACATTTAGACAACAGTATAAGACACAAAGGAAATATGAAAATCACATCAGCAGAATTTTTATGCATAACAAAAATGTTGGCAACTATCAAAACAGAATTTTTTAAATTCTTTTAAAAGGTTATCTTTATTGAGAGGGTAAAATTATGTATGTTATATTTCTATAATACAAAAAGTATGATTTTGTTGGTCTGTATGTATCATTAAATCACCAAAATATTGTATTATAGCTACTGAATTCTTTCTGTTTTGATGTGCAATGTCCTTTCTGAACATGAGTGTTCATAGCTCTCCACAACTTACTCTTCTTTGTAACTAAAGGCAATATTTCTCCTTTTAATATTCCCTGTTCAACTATCAATCTACACAAGCCCATTAGGTAGGTTACCCACTGATTCTCTCTGCTCTTCTTTCTTTCAGTATATCCCATAAGTGTCAAATTCTCCAAGCTTCCTTTCCTCTTTATGTGCCTCAGAAATTATTTCTAAATACTAATTAATTCTAAATGCAAGTATTCTTTTTTTGTTCCCTATGTCATCACCGATAGGATGTTTAAGTTGTTTGGATGAACAAGAATTTGTTGAGACTTGAATCCAGTGTTTTGCAGCCCCGGCAAGGGCAAAAAAATTAGGACAATGCACCAGAATTTTGTAATGAAGATCTATATAATTGGTTGAGATGGATTGGCTGCTTCCCTTACAAAATGCCACCATATTGCCCACAATCTAATGGAATTGTGGAAATAATGGTGCACATAGTAAAAATGGGATTAAAAGCATTTTCTCCAAATAGAGATGCTATAGATGGTTACTTACCAATGTTATTGCTTAGTAACAGGACAATTCTACATGCAGACAGATGGCAAAGCCCATCTGTATTAAAGATGTCTTATTTGACAAATAAAAAGATGTGGTATAAGAAAGACAAAGTAGCAAGTCCTGAGAGAGCAAAATTCATCATGCAAAGAGGACATAACACAGCCATTATATCAAAGAAAGGAAAAAGACTAATGGTTCATTTTGACAAATCAAGATTCAGAATTGAAGAAGATGTTGTGATGGAAGAAGATATTGACAGAGAAGAAATGATGAGTTCTTCTGATCAGGACAATGCAATAGAATAGGAGCCTATGGACGATAGTGGGAGTGACCCTGACATGTAAAAAGATGAAATGAGACTCTGTAGTGGATTAGTAAATAGGATTGTACCTATTTGCATATGTTAAGTATATAGTAAAGTAAGAGACAGGAAAAAGTTGACATGTTATAGAACAACACAATACAACTTTGCCATTTTCCTTCATATTGCTCCCATATTTCATCAATGATATTCTCAACATCCTTCTGTAGAATCACATCTCTGTTACCTCAAGTTTCTATTTCATCTATGAGAAGACTGTCCAGCGTTCATTGTTATATAGGACTCATATAACAGTCCAGTACTGTTTCTTTGTTTCTAATGAAATTTTCTTGTCCTTTAATACTTTGTTTAGATTTTGGAAGGCATCTTACACTATTCCAATGTGTCTTGAGATTTTCAGTTCTACTTTTCCATCATCTGTTAAAACATTTTTCAGACAAATGAAACCAACTGGCTGGTTACATTCAATGCCTCAAAGACAAATCTCATTACATTCCATCATTGGTGATCTGACCACAAATCAGGATAAAGAAAGGTACTCTAGGGTAAGCACTATGCCTTGAAAGACTGTTGAGCCTCAGACTCACACCCAACCTCACGTGCAATTCATACATATGATCCATTGCTGAGGATACAGGTAAAATGGCTGGCTCTCTTTACCGCTCCATTAAGTACCTGACACCTCCTGCTATCCTCTACATTTACAAGAGTCAGGTCAGGTCAAAAATGGAATACTGTTGTCATATTTGGGCTGGAACTGCCCATACCTCATTCTCAAGCCTTGATAGAGTCTAAAAATATCTCTGAGCACTTATGGGTGATGAATTATTCTCCATCCTTCAACCTCTCTCCCACAGTCGGGATGTAGCAAGCCTATTGCTGCTTGATTTTAATATCTCCAATTCATAGTTTGTAGCTTATGCTATTCTTCTTTGCAATAAAGAACACTTAAAAGGCAATCATTTAAAGAATTAAAAAAAAATATGAGGTAGGGATCATATACTTAAATGAACAACAAAAGAAATTAAATCCAAAATAGTACATTTTAGTTCATAGTATTAAATTAAGCTACCATCAAAACACCTATTTAAGAAATAAAAAAAAATCCAGGTAATTTTCAATTGAATGTTAATATTGTAGGCTCTTCATTTGCATGTGTGGTGTTAACTTTCCTTCTTCTTCCCTAATTAGTATACACCATGTTTGCCAGGTCATGTGATCCCTAATGGCCATGGAGTGATATGCAAATTGGGGCAGAGAGGAGTTTTGATATAAATACGATGAAAAATGGATGCTCCTCTGCCACGTGGGAAAAGCATAGCCTTTTACAAAATGACATGCCAGAATTGAGAATCAAGTCTTATAATATTCACTATCCTTGCTTTTTCAGGGAATGAAAGAAGGTATACAACATATTTTAAATCTTGTTTCCTTTGTAAAAAATAAAGCCTTACATTTATGTTCTTCTGACTTCTCTCTTGCTGTTTTTTTTTTTTTTTCAATGTTTGGGCAGGTACTATTGAGGCTGCTCATATCTATTTGGTACTATCTAATATACTGAATTAAAAAATATATATATTGTTCAAGAAATCTTGTTATAGAGATTTTTCTTTTCCGGCAATATCCTGAGGTGACCATAATTTTTAACAAACTTCTTTTCTTTATTATCTGTCAATCTTCTTATTTTTTAATCATTTCACCCCCATGCAAGACAGTAATGTCACTAGTATGCAGGGGCTTACAGAGGGTGAAAGTGAAAAAGACTGAAAATAGGGAAGATTGTGGAAAGAACAAAAGATGAAAGCGGTTCAAGAACACAGAAGATGGCAATTGATTTTTTGGGGGATGTCAACGAACACTCGTTTGACACTTTTGTAATGTCAGTGTATATTTGTTGTCACTTTGGCAATGCTCATTGTAGTAGAGACTTTGTAATTGCAGATACAGCTATAATACGCTGGTGAAAAATACTGGTGTCAGACGCCTTCGAATAACACTCACACCAATAGTACTTGCTTGATAATATTCACTTGAATAGTAATCTGTATAGTGATCCGAAAATAGAAATAGTATAGTGAATAGAGAATAGCAGTCCATATAGTAATAGAGGATAAACTAGAAATAGCGATCCGAATAGTAATAGAGAATAGAGTAGGAATAGATATCGTTAGTTGTGGTTTACTTAATTCAATGATGGCATCGCTTGTGTTTGCTCACTGGAGATCTATGTTCAAACTCAAGTGTTGGCAGTAACACTTTATTCCTGTATAAAAATTTTGCACTTATATTTTTGAAGATTGTAGTTGACATAGAAGCCAGTAAATAGAAAGAAGTTCCACAGGTGGGGAGTAGAAGTGGTAGTATTCAGAGCACAAACAAATGGTAGATTTATAAATGTGCAAAATGTGTTCTGACAAAACAAATTTTCTGGCACAACACAATGACCCAACTTTCCTTGCAGTAGATGCAGCTATTGATTTGATATAGGCACTCCACTCCAATTCAGTAGAAAATGTAAGGCCAAGAAGGCGTCTTGGAGTCTAGTGTCAGCCATATTGATGGCAGGCAGAAAAGGTTCTCTCCATGAAATAAACTAGCTTCTCTTTTGTACATCATAGTGAGAAAGTATGAGATTCTGCAAGGGATTAAATTCAATGATAATTTTTCTCTTTGTAATTTTCTTTAAAATACCAACCACTTCAGTTTCCCATCAATCAACAAAAATGCTTATCTAAAACCTCTGTGCTCAAAACTTTTTATTAAATTACAACTATTTTGCAAAATATATTACTTATCACCATTTTGCAGGTTATTTAAAGCCAGAAAACATTTTTTTTTTAATGTAAGAAATTTTGGAGATAATAATTTTTTACTGATGCAAGTCTTACTCATTAACCCATGGCTGGGGGGGGGAGAAAAGGTGGATCAATACCATTCCCAAAGATATTTACGTGTAAATGAATATAGTTACAAGTGGAACCCAAGTGGAATTAAAACTTGGCTCTCTGATTTTCAATTCCAAGCTTTTATCCATTACACCACCCACACATCCAAGCTAACATCACTTATTATTATCATGTGGTCACCCATCTAGATACTGACTGGGCTCAAAATTGTTTAACTTCGGTGATCATACAAATGAACCTGACTGGATGTGGAAGTCAGCTCTTTGATTTTCAATTCTGAGCCATTATCCATTATACCACCCGCACATTCAAGCTTACAGCACCTGGAATTTTGAAGCGGTCACCTATCTAGGTACTGACTATGCTCAATGTTGCTTAACTTCAGTGATCATACAAGAACTGGTATTTCAACATTATATGACTGTAAACCTTCAACACTGTAAAATATATACCAGAAAGACACAAGCATAGCAGAAGTCTTTAGTAATAATAATTTTTTAAAATATTTTTTGTTAATTCTTCAATTTAAATGTCCTCAAAGCAATTGAAGTCTGAGACATTTGATCCTGAGGAGGAAACGTTCAGACAAAGAAAAAAAGATATTTCATTGAATACTGAAATGTCTTTGTTAAATTCATTTCATTTTTACAGTTGATTTGGGATATAAGTTAAACATATTTTTTTAGCGAGAAGGAGAGTTCATTCACCTCTGTTGTCAAATAATTGTAAAATATTTGCCCATTATAGTAAACATTCATTTTATAACATCACCATTCATTGATAAAATTAATGAAGATTTCTTCTGCATATTTTTAGACAAAAAGAAAAAGGAAAACTGCATTTAAAACTGTGAAGCAGACAAATTTCTTCATTAACTCTCTCAAAAAGTCATACACAATAATAAATTAAAAAAAAATTGATCTTTGGAGAGCCATGACTGTCTATGTCCTGAAGGGACATGAAATTTTAAAAAATATGTGTCCTATTCTCATCTTTTATTCCTCTCTATCTCTCTCTTTCTCTCTCTGTCTCTCTCTTTCTCTCTCTCTCTCTCTCTCTCTCTCTCTCTATATATATATATATATATATATATAAAAAAAGCCTTAAACACTAATATTCCATGGTCATAATTTATTCCATTGGAATCGTACATACGATCCAAATCATCAGAGCTAAAAATTCAAAATGAAAACAGAAAAAACAACTCCGGAAATCAAAACAGAATTTAGAGAAAGTGTGAGGAGGAGGGAGATGAAACCTTAACAGAGAGAATTTTAGGAGAAGTGGGGGGGGGGGTTTAAAAAGAGGAGAGAAAGAAAGTCGACGGATGTCTAATGTATAAAGATACATATATACTTTTATTTCTCTATATATAAAATATCTTCATATTTCTTTACATATATAAAAAAAATATCTTAATATTTCTCTGTCTATATACAAATATCTTTCTATTTTTTTACATATATAAAAAAAATCATTTCTTTATATATAGAAAAATGTTCTACTTCTCTACCTACATGAAAAGTATATTTGTATTTCTTTAAAAAAAGATATATTTCTCTACATATATTAAAAACATTGTAAGGATACAGAAGGTGTTTATCTCTCTTTGGTGGTGGTAAGTCATGTGGGTCACATGATGGCCACTTAGTGATGTCACTCTATACAGTGACCATAGCAGCAGTTAAAATTCAGTTTATTTACAGCAGCCACTACATGATATTACTTTCAGTTAGCCTCAGCCAAAGGGCCTAGGCCCAGGCTAAATTTGCCTCCTCCTGCAGATTACAAGTCTATGGTACCATTTCCCTTCTCCAGATATAGAAAGAAACTCTAGCTCGGAGTCCGCAATTTGGGAAAACCCAGGACTCACTGTTTCCTGTTTGTGGAATATGTCCTTGCTTGGGACATAGATGAATCTGGCTATTTAGAAGCTGGAGTCCTAAGAATAGCTTCTCCAGACATAGGCGTATCTTCATATTATATGTAAGTCCCTTCCTTTTGTTTCTCCTTACAGTTTGCTGTGTATATATATCTAATGTAATTTCTCAGCATGGGATATTTGTATATATGTATATATAGTTTTGTGTATGTCTTAGTGATATAAAAGTTTCTCTGCAAGGCATGTTTGTCATTGCTTATTTTTTCAACCATTTCTTTTCTGTCTGTAAAATATGGTGTTATTGTATCACGAATACAATAATGCCCATAATGGGGGAAATACAATTGGGAGAATAAATCTTTCTTCGATAGCTTTCTCCCATTACATCTTCATATTTCTTTATATATATCTCAAGAAATATCTTCTTATATATATATATATATATATATATATATATATATATATATATATATATATATGCACATTTCATTAAAAACGACAGACAAGGTGCTTTTATTTAGTTTTTTTATACAATTTCTCATGTGATCTAATAATTATTTTTCTTTTCGGATGATAAATTATATAAAAATTGCCCAAATCCGCGAATTTTAGGCTATACATTTAGCCATTTCAAGGATTATATTTTAACTGTTAAAATTAGAAATAGTTTGTTGTATGTATGTTTTATAAAATATAATTAAATATAAAATATAATCCTTGAAAATGACTAAATGCATAGCTGAAAGCACTCGGATAAAAAGAACATTCAGACAGTTTTTATATAATTTGTCATCCAAAAAGAAAAAAAATATTAGATTGCATGAGAGATTGTATAAAAAACTAAATAAAAGCACCTTGTCTGTTGTTTTTAATGAAATGTGCATGAAAGAAGGATTGCTGCCTAAATACACAAACGTATATATATGTGTGTGTGTGTATATAAAGTATCTTCTTTCTCTACAAATGTAAAAGAATATGTTTGTATTACTTTACATATATAAAAAAATATCTTTCTCTACATATATTAAAAACATCTTTGTATTTCTTTACATATATACAAAATATCTATTTATTTATATATATATATATATATATATATATATATAAAAGAATATCTTCAAGTTTTAATGTGAGGATTTTTTTCTTATTTTCAACAAATGAGAAAAGAACAACTTACTTTTACGGTCCCTGCAGGTGCATATCCATTGAAAGGGGCATATTCCACATGTTCATTCGACCAGTTGTAATGGGAGGTGAAAATAGTTTTGTTTCCTTCTTGTATAACTACAAGATTTGGTACTGCCCTGGAAAATACAGAATAAAAAAAACAATAAATAACAATGAAAAATTGATATAATATAGCCCTACAGATGATTTACTATACCCCTCATATATATATATATATATATATATTTGTATAAAAACAGACCACTTTAAGGTTCCATGTAATAAATTATTTCTCCACAGCCCTTTTAAAGGGCTCTGATTAGATTTTACTTCCAAAGGTTGATTTTTCATTTCAACCTTTGGAAGTAAAGTCTGATGATCCAGAGCCCTTTAAAAGGGCTGTGGTGAAATAATTTATTACATGGAATCTTAAAGTGGTCTGTTTTATTCAAATTTATTTGCTCTGAATTTACATTGTGCTCTCTGGATATCATCCTCCTTGGGTTACCCATACGGATTACCTATTTTTGCATAAACTAAATATATATATATATATATATATATATATATATATATATATATAGAGAGAGAGAGAGAGAGAGAGAGAGAGAAGCACAGCTGACCTTGTCAACATGGACAATGAGTTTGACAGTTTGAGTGGTAATGTAGTTAGTGGAGAATAGTTTGCTCAGGTATTTGCTCACCTAGTCTCTTCTCTGTCAAGCATCATGACATACCAGTAACAAGAACTTTTTGACATGATATTTAGTGCAGACACAGAGAACAGTGACAGAAAAATTCATGTTTTTTCCAAGGCAACATGAACATAAACAACCTCAACCAGAATTTGAACTCTGTTGATTCCATTTTCTCTACACATAACTGTTATGCCACTTTGCATGGGAGATTTTACACACACACACTGTAATATAGCAACAACTCTAAGTAGAAGCTTATGAAGTTTTATTTTACTAATTCAGCTTTAGCACTAAGGAATGTTTATTTTATTGTTACAAGCAAGAGGGAAGATGGGATGTGCTTATTTTATTACTACACACACACAAACCCAAAATTACTTTCACAAACTTTTGAGTTAACGTGAGCAGGCAGATATGATTATTAAATACAATGGATAAATTGTCATGTAAATTACACAAAAATGAAAATAACACTGATATCTCATTTAACAGAAATATATACCAGAATTACAAAAAATTATCTTAAAATACTAAAAAGTAAATTTATTCAGTAAAATCACCATTGGCTTCAACCACAGACTCCAGATGACTTTGGAATTTCCTGTATCTCTTCTGGACGGTTACCTTGGTGAATGCTGCAATATTCTTGGCATCAGTTCATCTTTGGTGTTACAAGGATTTTTATTGGCCTCTTGCTCAATTGTGCTCCACATATAATAATCAAGGGGGTTACAAGTCTGGGGAGTTAGGTGGTCAGGTGTAAGGGGTGATGTGGTCACTAAAATTGTTTAACAATCATGACTGGGTTCTCCTGCTTGTGTGGCATGGTGCAGAGTACTATTCTCAGACACAGAGTCTTCCAGCAGCCACCCTCTTGACCCAGGACAGTACTACCTCCTCAAGGTACTTGATGTAGGCCTCTATGTTGAGTCTGAAGCCCTGTGGAGGCATAATGTCCAAACACCATGATGTTGACTGGATATATCATCCAACTCTTTCTGAATCCTCTGCACTGTCCTCAGATTGACACCCAAACACTCTGAAATATTTGTATTAGAGCTTTCGGCACAAATACCAATCAGTATACAGCCTGATGTTTCCAAATTTCTGGTGGAAAGAATTGCATCATGGTGCTGTTTTTCTCACAGATGGTGTCCAACTGACCCTACTATACTGGGTAGTTGACAAAATCAAACAATGTGCATGCACAAAATTAAAAATATAAAATGGCGACAATTTACTCATCGCACCCTCTGTGGGTGGGGGGTATGTGGGGTGGATGTGTATTGTGTGTGGGTGTATATATATATATATATATATATATATATATATATATATATATATATATATATATAATAAAAGGCTTAAAATCATTATTCCATGGTCATAATTTATTCCGCCTGAATCGTAAAATGAATTGAATTGTATTTACGATTCCAATGGAATAAATTATAACCATGGAATCTTAGTGTTGAAGCCTTTTTATTATATCCTTACACTGTCCTGGACATTGAGTTCTACCAGGATTGTATCCCCTTGGAATTATTTTTTATACAAATATATATGTATGTATGTGTATGTATGTATGTATATATATTTATATATTTTAGATATATGATTGCATATGTATGTGTATATTTACCACTAATATTATCTATATATATATATATATATATATATATATATATATTTAGCATTTTTATTTTTATATTCTATTGATAATCTTTTACCTTTCTCTTTTCTTTAATACTACAAGTATTTTTATAGTTATTATTATTATTATTATTATTATTTCCTTTGATTTTTGTCCTGTCCTCATTTCCAACCTAAGGTCAGAAATGGCATCATGATATTTTCACTAAACATTTTCTTAAAAAAAAAAATAAAACAACCTCAGATCACATACATTTACACATTTTACATTGATAAATCCCTTTGTAAGGTCTGTGCTGTACTTGTGAGCACATTTTTTTGCATTTCTTTGAGGCATGAACAAACAGAGATCCCTTTAATGAGTTTATCAGAACCTTTTTCTAATCAATCTAAGGGTTCCAACTACAACTGGAATTATTGATGTCTTCATGTGCCACATTTTTGAGATTTCCACATCAAGATCCTTGTATTTTCATAGTTTTTGAAGATCTTTATACTTTAACTAGCAACATGGCACGGTGTTGCCCGTGCTTGATTCAAAAATCATACGATTCATACAGCAATCACTATCTTAAAATATTTTTGCCTTTCCTTGCCTTTAAAGGAGTGCCCTTTGGCATGCTGATGTTGCTACATGCCTTACTTCTTGCCTATCTCACACTGCAAATTTTTTCTAAGCTCTATACTAAACATTAAATCTGTTACGAAAAAAAGAACTAAACAAAATGAATACAAAAACGATCAACTTTAAAAAGGGCTCAGAATCGAAAACCGAATGAAAAAGAATGTTAACAACAAATACTTTTTCGCACCCAACCCAGTTCTATGGAATCAGAATCAACGCTGAGTTTAAGTGTTTAATGAGCCAATGAGAGTAAAAGTGCCATGCAGATTTAAATTTTTCCCACTTGTGATGAATGCAGCTATCGATTTTTTTTTTTTGCATGCTAGCATGCTAGTTAACATTCGTGTCAGTCAGCTGTTGGCTCTCATGCTGGCCAATAGAATCTTCCTGCCTATTCATGGCAGCCAGCTATAGGCTCTCACTCTGGCCAGTAGAAAATGGCCGCAAACTACATGAAAACTGCTGTAGAAGCGTGAAAAAATCTGTTATTTCCACTATCGATGGGAGTTGGGAAATGCAACATCAGTCTTGGCCTTCCCACTAACTTGGAGCATGTGCATGTAAATTTTGGTGCAAATCTGTCGAAAATTGCAACTGTGCATTTGTTACACACACACACGCACACACATCCTGCCTTTTATAGATGGAGATTATTATTATTATTATTATATTCAGGGATAATATCTCTCTTACTTGCATATGCTCATTTTTATTGTCATTGTTATTATATTATTATTATTATTATTTACCCATAATCTTTATTTCATATTATCATATATACACTTACATTAACACACTAAGATTAAGTGGAAAAGCTTTTTCATCTTTATAGTAGCCATCATTTGGCCAGAATGGGAGATAGACCCAAGTGTAGAAAAAGAATGGGGAAGAGGCAATAAAAATGTTTATCATGTGCCACAGCCAAAGGATTGGATGTTTTAATGTTAAGGTTATTTACATCCATTGGTTTTGAAATTTAGCCCAGTTCAGAAAGCACTATTCAATATGAAGCAATGACAAAGTTGTGATTTCAGAAAAAAAACTTTTTTGTGCTCCCACATGTCAAATAAAAAATGAAAAATATACAAAGAATATTTTTGTTACACACTTTTTTATGTATATATAGATAGATAGATAGATAGATAGAAAGCTCTAGCTGTATAAAAACATCTAATCTAATAATACCAAGAGGTATTTTCTCTTGGAAAACATGTCAGAAACATTCCAGCAACATTTTTCTCAATATTCTTGTTTTTCATTTCATTGCATTCCAAAATAAGACAACGGTAATCAAAACAATATTCCCAGAATAGAATCATATAACTTAACACTTGCCAATGCACTTTGTAACATAGTTGTTGTGAGATTGTTACATAGCTCATCTGATCTCTCTCAAAACACCCAGGGACTTATTTATATCGGAAACAATATACTTAAAGCAATAATCCATGTCTTTCAGTCAGGAATTTTATGTCTTACATCTTGGTAAGCAAGATTTGATAAAGGTCAGACCAATAATATCTAGAACCAGATCAGTTCAAACAATGACAGTATAAAGTCATACATTCCAATAATAAAAACTGTAGCATTTTAGAAGAACACAAACATAAATAAATCAGATTGGCTGATAGAAATATGGCAGAGAGGCTTAAATATTGTCTGTGTGTCCTATATCTTTGTTTTCCAATCATATGATTTTTATATGAACATTTATTGGAGAAATTCTTTTTTTTATATTAGAGTAATGATAATGGTAATATTAGCCTTATATGAAAATATTTAGCATTCACTGACCAAACAGCCATTTTTACTTATCAGTTGAAATTTATAAAATCTTTCTGTTAAAACAATTTTGAAAATAGATTTCTTAAGTTCAGTTACTGTTATTGCTCTTTTCAGTATTGATGGGAACTTCCTTCCTAACTTTTTGTTTGAAGTAGTGTGGAATGCCAACAACAACAAAGATGAGGAGATTAGACCAAGAGATTGAGGCTAGAATTAGTAAGGGTAGCTTTGCATTTGGAAAACTGTGGAGGTGATTTGGGGGCAAAGACAAGAAAAATTGATGTGTATCCATTCGTTGTCATTACAACTCTTCTCTAGGATTCTGTATTGACAGCCCGTTAAATGACTTGAAAGCTTAAGATACATCTGTTCCATA